CACGCACTCACATAAGCTCAGCGATTCTCTGCGCGATCAACCTCTCACATGTTTAAGCTGCGGGAGATTTCACTTGTCATGTTTGCATAGTAAGCTAACGATTGATAAGACGATGTCAGAGGAATTGGTGCACAAATTATTGTCACTCACCAATCAGTGCTGTCGCTCTCTATACACAGTTAGCGCGATTGCAAAGTGAAAGCAAAAAACAAGCGCAAATTCAAACGAAATTTCCAAAAGAATGCAAAAGCATTGACATATATTTTTCCTTCCTACGATAGCCCGACGGGCAGGGCAGAGATAGATTTTGGTAGCCCAACTGGAAAAATCGCTAGCCCCGGGATGTCGGGCTAGCGATTTTGCGAGCCCTGTGGAGCATATACATATATATATATATAATTGTACACATAAAAATAAATATAATTTTTGACCTGGAGCCATTTGTTTCAGACGAATGCCATTCTGTGCTCCCATTCACTCTTATTCACTAATTTCTCCAACCAGTTTTGGAGAGAAAGAAAATAACCTCAGTTTTTAACTTGCTCTCCTGACCTCAATTTAAGCACCACACATACCAAAAACCCACACATATGGACAACAACTTGTCAGGATGCTCACGGTTTTTAAAACACATAAATATCACATTTGATCTGAATGTGATATGGAGAAGCCTCATTTTAAAGCCATTTTGTGAGAAGAGTGCAAAGTGCTTCTCTTACAGGCATGACAGAGAGAAAAGGGGCCATTTTCTCATGTCATGCCTCCCTCATTTTAATATCAATTGCGGATTGGTTGGCCTGTGTCATAGTCCTACTCCCTCACCCCTAAGGGGCACACACCTACCAGTGGCTGTCATGTGTTTTGTCAGGAAGTCTGTCAGTGGCTTACAATCTGCACTTTTACTTCTCTTGTACTGACAATTTTGGATGCAAGGGACATATTTCTCTCCTTTTTTGACATCTGACAACTTTCAGTATGTTTAAAACAAACAAACCACTTTTACAGTGTCTGCCACTTTATTAGGCACACTTGTTTTCACTGTACACAAACAAGCTGTTTATCTAGAACTCTTTGTTCACATCCACATTGTTCCACATCCTTGCAAAAAACGTTTTGCAATTGAATTGTAAATTCTAGTTGTTTTAGAAATAAATAAATTAGATTCTGGATTTAACAGGGAGTCAATGTTAAAAAAAAGAAAAAAAGAAAAGCCAATATTAGAAAAATATGCTCTTTCTTGTCAGTACTTTTGCTGCAGTATTTTGGATCAAGTAAGAGAGATTTTTTTTTTTGCAGAGTCCTATAATAATGAGTTACAATAGTCCAGCCTACAAATGTATGAACTGGTTTTTCAGGAAAAACTTTTTTCAGCAAGGCAGCATGGTGGTTTGGTGTTTAGCACTGTTGCTTCACAGCAAGAATATCCAGAGTTCAACTACACCATTTGGCCAGAGCCTTTGTGTGGAGTTTGCACGTTCTCCTTGTGTTTGTGTGGGTTCTCTCTGGGTACTCCAGATCCTCCCACAGTCCACAGACATGCAGTTAGTGGGGTAAGATTAAATGATGATTTTAAATTGCCCATAGGTGTGAATGTGAGTGGTTGTCTCTGTGCATCAAATTGGATCTCCAGGGTATCCCACCTCTCCCACTGTAGTAGCTGGGATAGGCTCCAGCACTACCTCCTGAGCCACCTCGCAAATGTACAGGTCATCTAGTAATTAGAAGGTTGATGGTTCAATTCCTGGCTACTCCAGTCTGCATGCCAAATATCCTTTCGCAAGATAACCCCAAGTTGCTTTCCAATGTATCTATTGTGTGTGTAAATGTTAGACAGAAAGCGCAGAAAAAGAAGTGGATCGGTGATTGTGGCAGGTTGTAAAAAGCACTGCGAGTGGTAAGGTAGAGTAGAAAAATATGCACAGCAGGTCAGTTAAACACAAAACTGTACAATGAACATATAATGAGTTGTTTACCCATTTTCTAGGAGCAGTACCAGTTCTTGTACAAAGCCATGCTGAGTCTCATCGGGACACAAGAAGACGAGAAAACTCAGTCCTTTGACGCTAACGGGACCATCGTGACGGAAACCACCAGCATGGCTGAAAGCATTGAATCCCTGGTGCCAACGAATAAATAAAACCAACAAAAAAATACTACACTTTTACAAATGAGCAACAGCATTTCGTCCCTTCCCTGAAACCACCAACAGAGCTGCTAGTGAATCCAGACTCTTGCTACAATCACTCAAGAAATCTTGTCATTCAAGACTCTGCCTTTTGTAGATTGAGACTGGTATGAGTTTCCTCTATACAGTTTTGTAATGTGTGCCTTTTTGCTCATCTTGGATTTCTAACTGTGATATGAGCTGTAGACTAATTGTTCAATGTTTTTAATGCTGTACTGCCCTGAGACTAACTGTCAACGCCAATCTTATATTTATTGGCGCTGAGCCAAATGTGGGGAAAAAGGGAAAAGCTGCATCTTTTGACATCAAATCTTAAGGTCAAAGGAAAGACTCTTTGTCAGACTCTTTCAATATTGATTTTGTTAATGTGTCTTTAACAGAGTACTTGCTCTGTTAAATGTAAATTCTGTTTAAATTGGTGTAGCATGCTGCAGTCAAATATAAAATAAGGGTATCGAATAGTAGATTAATGTACTGTAAATAATATTATAATAATACCCTGAATGGACCAAATTTCTATTTATGCTTTTCACCTTTGCTTTTATTTTTGAAGGGTTTAATTCTAATTGCCTAGCTGCTTTTATACTATGGATTTTGTAACAGTCATGCATGGGTACTGACCTTTTTGTTTTTTTGGTTTGTTTTTTAGCTATAAAGGAATCGCTGCTGGCTTATTAGCTAAGGGATTAAATAAGGGAAGGAACACCAAAGAGAGCCTGTGAGAGTGTTTTGTTACTGTGTGTTGAACCACAAATATACCTGCAAAGATGCAACAGACACATGAACTATTAGAGGTTTGCTCAGAAGTTAGTTAAATACACTGTTTTGCATACAAGTGATGTTGGAAATTTCCAATTTAAACATTTGGTACCAAGATGATGTATTAAGTCCATTGTAGACAGCAATTAGCAAAACTGTAGATTAGCAGAATGAGTTTCAGCTCATTAATATGCAGCCTTACAGAGAACCAACAGGAGGCAGGTCAAAGGTCACAAGGTCCAGACAAAAGGAACAAAAATGAGGAGAAACAGCCTTCTGTGAGCCTGACAGGGAAGAGATGTTACTGAATCAAGAAACACCGAAAATGGAGACATACCCAATTCCATTTCTAATGATGATTCTTGTCTGTGGATTATACAATTCCCTTAACAGAGTCATGGACTAATCCCTGGTTATTTCAGTTGATCTTTGCATGTGTTAATCCAGGCTAAGACACTGTAAGAAATGTGCCTTTTCAGGACAGAAAATAGGTCAGTGTCCAGACGTATCCACATTTTAATTTGCATTTTTGACTTTTCATGAATACAAACTTAATTGGTCTCTGCTTGGTGCCCTACTTTATATAACTGCCTTTAAATCAAGAAGGAGCAAAAACGCTGATCATCTTTTTCTGAAGAGTTGAGCTCAACTAATTAAGTGATCAGAACCATGTCACAAATATAAAGGTCACAAAAAGCAATACAGGTGCAAAAGTCTGTATTACGCAATAACTGTTTTTAATATCTTGAAGCTTTGTGCTGACAAATATCAGCCATAATTGTAAACATGTACATACTGTGTATTGATGCAAAAGAAATAGTGTGCTGCAGCCTTTATCATCATTTGGCCTCTTTTGGTGTCAAGATGATAGATTAAGTCCACGCTAAGCACCAATTAGCAAAGCAGTAGATTAGCAGAATGATTTTCAGCTCACTGATATCCAGCCTTACAGGGAACCAATGGGAGGTAGATAAGTAAGTAATCAATAAAAAGATAAGTAAGGGAGAACTAGTGCGTGAAATGGACAAATCAAGAGTGTGGAAAGTTCTGAAGATAACAAGGAAACTGATTGCAGCTGTAGACCGTCATAATTCTCTTCCATTTGGGTCTGTGGGTGATATGTTCCCGTTGTGGTTGGGAAGTGAAGGACTATAGCATAATAACAATTATTATTTTGCTGGTAGTGCACTTCATTCATGATTCATTTCTATTGGAATTTAATTCAAATCTTCATTCTGAGCTTTCTCAGCAAATTCTATTGAACATAATGGTATCCCTAAAATTCATAAAAAAAATCATCCTGGCTAGTTGACATTAAATTCTCAGTGGATGGATTCTCAATTGATTTAAATGTTAGCGCATTTGCAATTAAATTACTGCACTGTTTGCACTAAGATCCAAGCATTACGAACACCAAGGCCTCAAAGCTACAACACCAATGAATAAGGAAATCTTGTGGAGAAAAGGTCTTCTGCAAAATGTTGGAAGCTTAAAAATGCTCAGAATGAACGAAAAGATTCACTTTACCCAAATACCTTGCAAACAAGAGAATTCCACCTACCTGCACGGCTTTGCTATCAACATGGCTGAATCCGATGGATTCTGTAGTGCTCTGAGCTTAAAAATAAAATTTAAAAAAGCTTAAAAAATAAAAAAGGTCAGTTATGGATATAGTAACAATCCAACGAAGAAGAAATGTAAAAAAAACCAGACTATTACATTTATAATTGAATTGTGACAATCCGAATCTATAAAAAATGAATGAGAAATACTTCACATAATAATTTTATTCATGCAATCATTATTTTATAAAGCAAAATATCAGAACCATCTGATTGTTTTTTACTAATCAAATCTTTGATTATTGTGAAGGTCAATCAAAAAGACAAATAAAAACCATTTGTTATTATTCAGTGTCATATTCTTGTTACTAACAGATTTAACATGAACACATGAAACTGAACCACCTTAAAAATACCACCTAAAAATACCATGTGGTACTTCTAGCTCGCACTACAGAGGACGAGCGACTCTAAATCTTAAACATTGCATATTGTGGCTCCGTGCACCTTAGGGAACATGGTAAACCATTAAAACTGATCTTATAGTATGTATCT